CATTAGAAGAAATGAAACTGAAATGGAGGGAGTAGCCATGAAACCACATCAGTAGCCATGATTTATTGTTACTTGATTTCCCAATGATTTCCTTGAGAATGATGCTGAGGCACAGGCCATATTGCATGAATGCTTCTTCAATTGCCAATTTTCATTTTAAGCATGAAAAAGTTGTCTACTGTATGCTTACAAATTTCCTGAAAGTGATCTAGTTGGTGGTGGGGAGAGGGGTGGGCTGTGAACAGGAATAAAATTTGCATACAATATAAGAGTTTCAGTGTCCAGTCAAAGCAAAATCGGTCTTTGGGAGGGGTGGTTTTTCAGAGAGATTTCACTGTATCGTCATGCAGAAATCAAATTAATGTTATTACTAATGGCCTGCAGCAGCAAAAATGTTGAACAAAAAATACACAAAATGGTTTTCCAAATAGTGGCATGCATACAGCTCAAGAACAAATAAAATACACTTTCATAACACTGCAATAAGTTCAATGTTTAACAAAAATAGTCTTCAAGAATACTGCAACAACATAGAATAGAATATGTACAGTACAACAGTTCTTTACATAATAAGAATACCAAAATTTGTTGTTCTGCAACAAGTGAATAGTAAATATTTAATGGAGCATGGTCTCTTCTATGAAGTTTTCCTGTGACATGACATCCGCTGTATCATGTTATCAATAAAAAAAACTCCTTATTTTTTACCTTTAAGCTCTAGTAATTCTTGAAATGAACTCAAAAGGAAAACACTGGCATGGGGGTTCCGAAAGGTTGGAAACTGTGGCATTTGACACTTGGATCATAACATATTTTTGAGTAAACTACACTCTCAGATGTTTCTGATTATTATATAAATTTGAAATAATGTGAAGTATGTAATTGGTTTAACGTTGGAAAAATAATCTAAGACATTACCACTGAATGTTAAAAATTCAAATATACTTTCAAATGAAAGATGTTTTGATTATAGTCATGGTGCAATTTTACATTTACATTTACTTCTGCAGAGATACTTCAAAATAACCAATAATGATATTAACAATAAAATTAAAATTTGTTCAATTCACAGTTGCTTTCTTCACAGAAACACGTCAACATTAGTTTCACGTTCAACTTTAGTTTCACAACAATCAATTCATATTACACCATTTTAATTAACCTCCTAGAACTTCTATCCTTTGTTCACCACTTCCATTCCGTTATCCATAACTCAAGAAAACAATTCCTTTTTGGGTAACCTCCTAATACTCTCCAATTCATAATGTTCCATATCATTTTTAGAACTTTGTTGTAATTTTTTAAAAGAATTAAAAACATTTTTATTTAGATTACTATACTTTACTAAGCAAGGTTTATGCTGCCCAGGTACAGCTCCATAGGAGGATTCCTCTTGTTCTGATATATGATTACTCAGTATTACTTAATATTTTTAGGGATTACTTTATGATCTTGAAATAAACTGTAATAATTTTTCAAATATTTTGTAGACACAAAATAGCTCTACAAATTTCATAAGCAATGAGCTTTTAATAATAGACTTGCATCAATTGATTTTGCAGAAATTTCAAAATACTTTTTTGCACCACATAGGTCTTTTAGACCTGGATAAAACTTTGCACGTTAAACAAAATAAAATGTTTTATCAACATTTATTTTCCTACTGCAATATTTCCCAAGCACTTTACACAGAAAATTATAATAATCTAATATATAAAAAATCAACGTATTTTATAGATGGACGTACCGTCCAATCGATTGTAATAAAACGTATTGCTTGCATTTGCGCGAAGGCTTCAGAGAATATGCGTACGTCTGTCACAGATAAACACAAAATGGTGCGTTGTTGACACAAGAACCCCTGAACAGAAGCTCTACGCAACCCGCCGCACCCTCAAGTATTCAGTGCGTCTTCGCTGCATATTCTGGCCCTGCGATTGTCAGATATCGGCAGGAATTATTACTTGAAGGTTATCTCGAACAAGTAAACCAAATTTCTCGAAGACAGTGTCAGAGCGAATGCATGCCCAAACTTGTGGGGGAACGTTTTAACAACAGGAAACTTGACAACCACGTCCAAACCCGGGCATACAACAAATCCATACTCGCGAGAGTCTTTCATTTCAATGGGTGAAAACCATAACAGTAAAAGTGACAGTTTATACATTCTGGGAAAAACGGGTTCCATAGAGCAAAATTAATAGGAAGGAATTATTTGTATCTGAAATGATATGCCAATTAGAATAGCTACAAATGTTGTGCACTGCATCGATCTTCAAAAAAAGATATCAGCCAATTCAGTGATGTAGCCACATTAAATGATAAAACTGACACTCCATTGAACTGACTGTCAAATTCTTGAAATTAAGTACTTTTCTTGAAAAATTTAATTACCACAAATGACAATATACAACTTAAACTTGGTATTTAGGATCACTTGCCTTCTCTTGGCCAAAATCGACACACCATGGACCCATTCTCTTCGTCGGGATATTCACTTTCCGTCCTAACCGAATCGAACAAACTTAAAGTCTTCAAGTTGCAACTCACATCCTATTGAAACTTTACAACAATACATCTGATAACAGGTGTCAATGAGTGACTTTCAGTTAGGATTCATTCACATGATACCCTTTGCTAGTCCTTTATCACATTCCAACTGAGAGCGTGAGTTAGCAAACCACTGGAACGCTGTGAAACGGACAAAGCGAATGTGCTATTTCTTTAATAGATACTTATTAAAATCCATCTGTTGTTACCTGAAAAAGAAATTAATCCCTCTGCAAAGTAAGCTACTCTGGATGTTACTATTCAAAGGAATCTGGTGTGCCCCATTGACAGGAAGATATTAAATCAAGAGTAATCTTAACCACTTTTCTGCTTCCTACAGCTCAAAATCACTTGAGGTGACAGAAACGTGTGCCAGGCTGTCTGCTACTTAGACTGGTGGCCACTGAAAAATGGAAATATTTGTCTTTGTTTGTGGAATATTTGTGGAAAAATCAATCCGTTCAACGAAAAAGTGGCCATCAATTGAGGTGGCCATTGAGGCAAGTTTCACAGTAGTTTTCTGTTGAAAATACTGTTAGTTGTTCACGAGGCCTAGCCAGACCCATCTCATGAATTGTAGAAATAACGGTGTTGCATCTAAGAGCAGGGCAATGGAAATTTGATATCTCGAATGTAAAGGGGAAATGTGAGTAAGTGTGTGAGTAGTGTTTCAAAGTGTGTCAACTTCTCTTATCATTTGTCCCATGAGTGTAGCATACGTTATAGCCAGGTGGGAGGGTACTACCAACCACTGGAACATGAGATCCATTGCTGACCTACACTTTGGCTTGCAGGTTATGAAGAGGAAAAGAAAGTTTGAATAATAAAATATTTTTACCCACTGAGATACAGCCTGTCAAGGGAACACATTACCAACAGCACCACAAATTAAGTGCAACACCATAAAACTGAGTTTAGCTCAAGAGCAAGCATTGCTGCTGTCACTGCAGCGACTCGGACCAGGAGGGTCCAACGGTTAGAATCCAGATGGTGGTGAATTTTTGACACTAGCTGAATAGCTAGGTTGAATTCAGTATCTTTCAATTTAAATGCACGATTGTCTATAAATCAGTGGAACCTGTTTTAAAGGAATAAAACATAATACAAAATTCATGAAATGCCAATATCACTTCTATTGTGTTTAGGTTTTGTAATTTACTTCTAGAACTATAAAAAAATAGTTTTGCATAACATTCTTGAAACAAATTATTTTGTGCTTAAAACCAAAATCTTGAATGAACTGAGAACAAAGTACTACCTTGAATAAGAAATATAAAAACAGCAATTATTTTTTTTCTTGAAATGCTTTCATATAGTAGCTCATTTCTTATTGCTCATTGGTCTTTCTCTAAATTTGAAATTATAATTTTATAAAATGTAGCAATAGTGGTGGGAAACTCAACAATTATTAAAGCTAAACACTCACAAAAAACAATGTAATTCGGATATTTCAAGCTTTTAATGTTTATGGAATTCAATAAAAAATTCTACCTACTATTCAAGCAGATAGAAAGCACACGAACTGATAACCCGAATGTGTTAAATAGGAGTGAGGGCATGGCAAGTATGACATGGCCCTTTCTAAAAACTTCATAACTTTTGTTTTCAGACATGCCATGCTTGCCCATTGATCATTTTGTGTCCAAAATCGTGCTAAATAACCCAATCAGTTGATGATTCCAAAATCACTGGCCACACCTCATTCAAGCAGTTTTGTGAGGATACCTTCTACAGTATTCAGTTTTTTCTTCAGTTTCAGGAGAGATGTCTTTCACTTGAGACACGGGCAAGTCAGTTAGAAGAGGTACTGCAATGGATTCGGGGGAAATAGACACCATGTGTTGCTTGCAAACTAATTGTCTCAGAACAATTGAAACAAAGAAACTTGCAGTGAAATTTAACATTATGTTCATAAGGAAGGCAGTTTACAGAGCCCATTTATTCCTGTTAAATGTTTTTCTTTCCAATGAAAAGAGAATATCAATGTATGTAAGAGGCATGTCCAAAGAATAAGAAATAAATCAATATATTGAGCTTTGAAATTAAACAGTGCAACTTATAGGGGCAAATGCACAAGGGTGAATATGCAGAAACAGAATGTGAAAAAATTGAAATATTGAGGAATTAGAAGTGCAAATTATTATTTCATTTTCACTATATTTCCAGAAGTGTGCAATGAAAATTTCTAGTTTCCTATTTGGTGCACGAAAGATGACATTTCAATGATGACGAAAACATTTGGTAATATATCAGGTACCTAAAACATTTTTCCCTGAAATTTCACTGTATACAGAAATCACATTTCTACAGGATATTTTTAAAACATTTCCATATCTTCTAAATTAAGCTTCTGAGAAAAGAATTGATATTCACAGATTCAAATTCCTTGAGAGCTTTCTTCAAATAAAAGAATATGAATTATTGCCTTCTTCAAGAACATATTAATGACTGGAGAAGGAACCAATTTTACAGAAGCTAGGCAATCTAAATTTGGAAAAGCAGGAAAAATTGGGAGAAGTACCTGAATACACCTCTTAATGAATACTGGATTAAGATAAAAATATCCTTCAGGTTACGAAAAAGACACACATTGTATTTCTCTCTCCCTTAGAAGTGTGAACAAACATTTATTTTTAATGAATAATTGATAAGGAAAACTTTTTCATTGAATTTTATTTATTAAATTTACCCATTTCAAATTTATTATAGACCACTGCAAAACCTCACTCTTTAATAGTAGTACACTTCTGAGAATTCTCTGAACTTACAAAACAAAACTGTGAGACTTTATAACAAAATTTATTTATTACAAAACTCAGATAAAGAGATTCTCATGTATGAGGATGTTTGATGCTTGGAGGAAGAAATTATTAAAACACTACAAATTCTTAACAAAATTTTCTTGAAATTCATAGGCATCTATTTGAGAAGCGACTTCGTCAGATCATAACACTTCATCTTTACAAATCACTCAATACATTCATAGCACACATGTATAAATACATGCACTCAGAAGTGGTTTTGAGAAAGAACAATTTGTAACAAACTAAGAACAAATGTTCCACCAGAAGATATGTACATTATATTTCTTCTCAACATATTTCTTTTTCATGGTATTTCATGATATGTTTTGGAAAAAATTATACCTATCAACAAAAAGTCATCAATTTTGTTTATATTATCATGTTCAAAAAGTAATTGGGACATCAAATTTCTACTTGACGTGAACTTATACTTTACATAATTGACAGAATAAGACTATGTAAATTATTTGTAATTGTTATAATATAAGCCCATGCAGTATAAAATAATACAATAAGACCCCTTCATTCTTCTTGTTTTTCTACACACCAAGTAATTCTAATTAGCAATGTTCAATTACAACAATTTTGTGTTGTCTCTTGGAGAACTGAATTGATTCAAACATCATGCAAATAAAATAACTACAAGAAAACACAACTTGATAAAAAATGAATATTAAAAAATAAAATTTAAAAACTTAAAAGGAACTGTTTCAACAAAAAATTATATAACCTGCTTAACTACATTTTGGAAAGAACTTAATGATTATTCAAGGATATAGACTACTGAGCTACAACAGAAAAGAGACTAGGGAGGAAAAATAGAAGAGAAGACACTACTAAAAAAGTTTAAGAGAAACTGGAAAACATGTTGAATAGTAAATGCAAACTACTCTCTGAACATGAAACGTCTCAATGAACACACCCGCACAAAGATGAAAAAATAAATAAAAAAAGTAATGAAATGAAGGTGAAAATGAAGCGGCATGTAACAATTAATTCCCATATATTAGTTTTTACCAAACTACCTTCTTTTATAATAACATACGGCATATGTTCCCAATTTAGGTAAGAATCAAAGGCACAAGCCTGAAAACTCAACATATCTACATACAATTTAGATATCACTTCGGCTCTCAGGCAAAGGGTCCAAAAAAAGGTAGTAAACAACCCAAAATTTAGTGTTAAGATGACATTTCGATTTTCAATATTATACATTACCTTTTAAAAATTGTTGGATTAGATTCAAAACAACACAATAGAGGGCAAAACAGATCCGACATTTTTGCTTCACTGAAATGTGAACTTTGCGTCTGAACATTTTGTAATACAATAAAATCACAGTTTACATTACTCACAATATAATACATACTGACAATTAATCAGAGAAATTATCATGTATCAGGTGATCTCAACTTAACTATTCCTGTTAATAGATTTTCATCAGCTCCACTTTCTGAAGTGACTGGGTAGTTTGGTTCATCGTCCTCATCAATAGCTTCTTCCAGCATTCGTTGTTTGTAACTGTGAAAGATATTTTAAAAGAATTAAACATGGAAGTAGTTAGTAACAAAAACAGTGTGATAAAAATATTGAAATAAATGAGCATAACTTTTGCATTATACTGCTAATGTCTAGTGGAGCAAACGCATTTAAAATTTCATCATGATGTATTATATGGGTATCTTTCAAACTTTTATTCAATGATTAAAAGGCCATTTTTATTTTATTTTGTATTTATTACTAGGTTTACTATCTCCAAGAATTATCTGTATTGTTGCAGACATGGTCCCTAGCCATGTTATTGTGACCACCAGAAAAATTTTGTAGTATTTTGTTTTCCCTTCCTTTTTTCAAGGGAAAACTTTTATATTAAGTGAGGTTTTTCAATTGTGGCAACTTTTTGATGAAAATTTGGCAACAAATTTTTTATATGGCAACAATGGTGCAGAGGAACGCCACAATGACTTTGTTACAGAAAGCCTCCATACTTTCCTTAATGTGTTTTTGTACAATAACTGTGTTTTCTTTTTAAATAAAGCATGAGTTATTTCAATACACTTATTCAAAATTAATTGTTTCTAACTTAGATTTTCATAATTTTAATGTTTTTATTTCATAAATTTGTATTTCTTTAAACTTTTGTGTAACTTAATCTCTATCCAACTTTTTTGTTAATGTTGAGAAGGAAAAGAAGAGAAATTAAGGCATTAATAGAACTTGAAACCCTTTCACAATGACAAATTGCTCAAGCGTTTGCTTAAAAGACATCAGTAGCAAACTTTCTCAGAAAATAAAAAACCGATGAAATGTAGAAAATGTTGAGTGATAAAATTAATAAGACCTGGGACTGTATGTTGGATTGTACACATAGGTAATTGTGATCATTTGGTATAATTTCGTATTGAAGGAAACTGGCTGGTTTCGTATTTTAAAATGTTCTAATGAAACATGGAGATCATTTTCCATGAGATATAAAGGAGTTGGCAGGAACATCATAGCTTCATATCTATCGAAAAAAAAACAACGAAGATACTTTGATACGATGACATGTGATACTTAAACATTAGTGCAACAAGAAGGAAATAACATATTTGCAATAAAAATGTGTTTTTTATTTCTTGTTTTTTGATTAGTTACCACATTCATTATCTATTTCAATATTTTTCTTTTGGCTGTAAAAAAGATGTCATTATGACTCTAGTGTAATAATGAAGCTTTTAGTATCCATAGCAAAGCACTAATCAAGAGTTATTAATAATCTATCTGGTACATAGACTTTCAAATACAATACATACTATTAATTGGAAAATTAATAAAGTTCCTATTGTATAAAGACTTATTTGAAAATCTATCTCTTCAGATTTTCATTATTTGACAAGATCAAAATATATTAGTGAAAATAAACCAGTTTTAGCTCAAATCTACATTTTTTCAGCAGTCTGGGAGCCACTATGTTCTGGAAAGGACTAACGTGTCTTCATCATTCTGGGGCCTCATTCAGATGAAAAGTACAGAAACAAAGAGCCATATTAACTAAGCAAGTGAAATTACTAAGACCAAACTGAAAGGCTAATGTAATGTTGACAACAAGTTTTATTTATTTTACCAAAGGGAAATAGTTTTATTTTATCATGTATTTTAATGACAAGTCAAACAAGTTACGTTCTGTTGTCAGTTTGATCACTTTTTGAGGAAAAAAAGGGAAATACAAAATAAAGATGTAGCAAAATGTCACACACAAAAAATTGAATTACTTAAGACTACATATTGTAGTAATGTTGAAGTTAAAATTAATAGTAGTTAAAATGTAGTAGATTAACATTTAAATTCACAAACTATTGTTGACTCTGGTTGTGGTGAACTGGTCACAGGTTCTGATCCACGTGCATGTGAAATAAACACTAAATGATACAGATATTGTGAACTCTCCACATTGGCTATAGTGAATATAAGAGTGTGCAGTGCGAGTTCGTTTTGTACAATTTACAGTGATTGTAAGAGACTGAGGGAACATAGGCGGAGGAAATGTTTTTAGCTCGTCCATGGCACTTCAGTCAAGCAGGAAGGTATTAATCGTTGTGGAATGCAAGATGCAAACCAATGAAATTCCATCTGGCTCGGATATCATAAATGCAGTGAAAGGGTCTGCTGTGAAAAGATACAGAAGAGTACGAATGTTGATGATAAAGAAGAAACAAGTGAATACAAGTGTTTCAACACTACAAGAGTCATTTGAGAGTATCAAGACTGTACTACAATTTTTGACAGCATATATAATTTGTGGAATCAAGTGGGTAGAAAGCACAGACTCTTGAGAAGGATCTGCAAAAATTATTAATAAATGTACACAGCAATCAATCATAAAATCTGCTATTTTAAAGTTATTGGATATGTTATGGCCCCTCTGAAATAAAATCTATTACTGAGGAGAAAAAAAGTTAATTTTCACGTTACCAGATATAGTGAACCTCTGATATAGTAAACCAAAAACATTGATCTCTAGAAGTTCACAACAACCTGAGTCAACTATCAAGTATCTAACGAAACAATTTAAACATAACAAACTAAGATACTTTCATTTTAATACTTGAAAATGTTAAAAGAAATTACAAAGTGAGTATGAAGTGTAAAGGTGAGGACTTCTCATAAAATAAGAGAACATTTCGAATGAGTAAAAAAATTAAGTATATTGGAATTTGCTAGAAAAACAGAACCATGGAAAACAGACGTATTCTTTTGAAAAAGAAACACCAACAACAGGGTGTAACAGCTCACTAGGGGAGTGTGTTCTTACCTTATGCTCCGTACTCACATTTTAACCCTTAAAAAGTGTTCAAATATTAAAATAAAATAATCTTGTTTTGTTACATTTAACTTCCAACAATAAATATTTCATTTTTCAATATGTACAGGAAAAATTCACATATCTAAAAAACAAGTGGCAACAAGCAAAACTTATCTCACAATATAAAAAAGTAGACAGATCAGATCCAAATAATTACAGAGAAATAAGTATTCTAGATACAAACTACAACTTATTTGTAAGAATGTTAAAAGTGAGGCTACAAATAATAGCAAATCACTTAATTTAAAAAGAAAAAATACGATTCAGGAAAGGAAGATCTAGTGCAGATGCCATCTTTACTTTACAAAGAATTACTAGTTTTGAAGACAGAAGAGAATTTAATTGCAAAACCCACCTAGCTTTTATAGATCTAGAAGAGGCTTTTGATAACGTATAAGATATAATTCTACACCCCCAAAAATTAAATTATTTTGATGTAGTAACTGAAAGGTCTGATGGAAACTAATGTAAGGTGGATACTTTTATTACATGATAATTGAGTAAGGTAGAGTTACAGTATCTAACCAATCCTGCTTAATATTTGAATTCGTGATATGTTTAAATGGACATTTTTAATTGGCTCACAAATATGTCTTGAAAACAGAATTTTTCTGAACTCACTATTATTACCATGTGATTATTCAGGCAAATGAGGAAAAATAATTACAAAAATATGTTTTTATTTTCTATCAAATAACAAGGGAATATAACCTAAAAAGCTGAACTAAGAAAAACAATGGCATTTAAAAGATAAACCAAATTGTAATAGGTCAAATAACAGCAAAACCATAAATATCGATTTAGAATGCTACAATTCTTTTGAAAAAGACAAATTTGCATGTAAAATGAACCTATTTCCAAAATATTTGTGGAACAACTCATAAACATTTAAGGAACAAAACATGGAAAGATACTAGAGTAATTTTTTTTAAATACTGAGGCTGTAGTAGTTTTAACATACGGAAATGAAGAAAGAATGATGAGTAATAGAGATAAATATAAAGTACAGACTGCAGAAATTTATTCAAGGTTCTTAAGGGCATACAATATTACAAGTCTGGGCAACTGGGCAATTTTAATTCAGATGAGATATACTTTTATACAATAATTTAGTAAAAGTTCATACAAAAATAAAATAAAATAAATATTTTTTATTTAAATCAATTTTTAAAATTTGTATTAGATGTTTCTACTTTAAACCAAAGTCTTTAAGTGATTTATTTACCCTTAATTACATCAAAAGCAAAAAACTTTACAAAAACATCATTTTTTAAATTCATCATTAAATTGTTGTAATTTTATTTAAAAAAATGAAGATACTATGTAGGTATTTGAGAGGAGCGACATAGCCCACAAAATCTTTAAATTTGTTTCACTTATAGAGTAGTGCTCTTGATACACTTACAAAATAAGGATGAGACACAATCTATTAGAATAATTTAGAAAAAAGGCATTATTCATCGTCCAAAGAAATTTTACCAATTTTTTTCCGTGCAATACCGTCTTAAACAAAACACATTTATTGTTGAAAACAACTGAATTCATTGAAACTAACAAGGTCAGAGAGCTTTTGAAATATTAAATTCTACTTAATATTTGTCCTGTTGGTGTAATGGTTGTTATTTGCACACTTTCCCATTAACCCTTTAACAGTCAGTGCAAAGTATCCTTCCCACTTAAAATGGAATTTTATTAATATACACATAAAGAAAAAGGTTAATATTATTAAAACTAATAAATTAACAACTGTTTGAATTAGCTTTAACAATATTAATTTTGTTCCTTAAACGAATATTAATAAAATTCCATTTTTATTAATATTCATCATCTTTATGATGTACTTCAAGTGGCTTAAGCAAACATTTTAATTTAAATAAAAAATTGTGGACATCGCTCAAGCTTTGTCTATTAGTGTATAACTTTACTACAAATTGTTCTTTTCTTTGTTTAATAATTTTAATAAGTTTGATAATTTTATTGTAATTACATTGTATTTTATTTTCTCAAAATAGTTCAACTGATTTAAGTTTTTTTATCTGAGTAATTTGTAATTTAAAAATATTTAAAAAACAAATATATTTTCAAACAATAAATATTGATTTAAATCAATGATTTTTAAATAATACCAGCCTTACAATAATTAAAAGCAAATGTGATCGATCACTTAAAATGGAATTCCCATTTGAATGTTATTAGGAAGAAGGGTCTTCATTTTTTACAAAACAAATTATCCCTGTTCAAACACAACTGTTATTCATTTATTCAAGTATGCATAAACCTTTCAACAAAATTAATTTAATCAATTAAATTTTTTAATTGATGTTAGTGTCGGCATATCATGCACCAAAATCAAATACTCAGGTGCACCATTAAATAAGAGTGAATTATAAAAGAGATCAACAGAAAAATATGCTGCAATTGACTCGTAGATCACCATCTACTTGTTGTCCAGGCCTGCAATACTATTAAACACCAATATTGATATTCAGCAGGAACTAGGGGAAGAGCCAGTGCAAAATAACAGAAAATGAACATCTAACAAGAATGGCATGGTGCAGACTTCCAACTTTGTCAATACAATATCGGCGAAAAAGAAAACAAGATGAGAGATGCGACACCATGGGCAAAATGGGTACTGAACAGGTTGAAGAACCTAATCCTTGATGAGAACATCTGTGTGCACATCTTTACATTTACACATGTTCTCCTTCTTTTTCTATTGGTATGTTTGTTTTGTAATTTTAATTACATTTATTGAATAGCTCATAAATTTGTAGTAATCTTTTTTACTGTAATAATAAAACTAATCAACATAAAACTGAACATACTGTTGCAGTTATTGTTCAGTTTATATCCCAATTGTTATCATAGGTGCAGGAGAATTAAGATCGGGGTGCCCTACACCCCAGTGTGCTTTTGGTGGATGCTATTACATTTCCAACCTCGTGAATTTCACTATAAGTGTACTGTGTGTGAGCACATTAGCCAGATGTCAATACATTTTTGGAAAACAAATTTACCTGACTTTTTACCAGTTTTGCAGATCTATCAACATCAATTTTCCAAGATTACATCAAAATGAATTAAAAAATATATCAAACACTTCTGACTAGGGTAGCAATAATTTAAATCTGGGGTTAGAATTCAATTATTTATTGAAAAAAATACCTTGTATATCTCAACAAAATTTTAACAAGTTTGTCTCAAATTGTGCTCTTTTTAAAGACTGCCATCATAATGATCAACAAAATCCACTAATTACTAAATTAACAAAGTGCAAAGCAGCAGCTTATAACAATGATTGAATATTTGAAAATTAAAGCTGAATTCAAGTATGCAAAACAAGATACACAAGTTTGCAAAATCTATAGTTAAAAATGTTGGGTTAAGACAGTTTAATGTTTTCTTACAAAGAATTTTTCATTTATGCTGAATTTAGAATTTGTATTTATTTATCGATATTTATGATATTTGAAATACTGAAAGATTTTTGTTACAATACACAATAAATACACAGTTAAAATACACAATAAAAATAACAAGATATTATTTTTATTGAATTGTTTTCAATAGTTTTATGTACTATAAAAAATTATAGCTAAAGATGTATTTATCTCATTTTGATCAATTTAACAAATTATATATCAAAAAAGTACATTATTAATACAAACAAATGAAAAATATTCCACTTACATTAAAAAATGCATTTCTTTATTTATTAACAATAATAATTTGTTCATCCTAGATCTAACTCTTTTCAGGTCTCGCAAAACAGAATGAAGAAGGAGGGAGCATCCACATCTCATTATGGCAATGTGAAATGAACAAGTACAATTTAAAAGCAGACAAATTGTGGTCAACTTCAGTTTCTTGAATTTTCTTTCAATATATTCATGTATTTTAGAAGACATTTTCTAATGCCTGGGGTGAACTACTTCTGTACACTCCTTCACATATAGAAAGTTGAAAAAATATGGAGGATCGACTTTGGACTTTGGTGGAAAAGACGACTTTGGTGTATTTCATCTACTATATTTTGAACTGAATTCCTTCAAGAATGTTTTTGATACATTTTTTTAATGTTTTACAAACAAATTGAAGAATTGTATAATCAGGAACAACCAATGAATGAAGACTACTAACTGCAGAAGACCCTTTGGAACAAACACACATTGGCAATTCCACTACTAATCCTCAGACAAATTTTACAATTATGGTTTGCCACAAACTATAATCCATTCTGCTGTGGTTTCAAGGTTGCTATTTGACTGTACCAAATGAGGCAGTCCAGAACGGTCTCTCCCAGAGAGTATATAATCTCTCCCGTCTGCTTGTAACAGACCACGCAATACAGGTCTGCTCAATTCTGTGGAGCAACCATGAGTTCACTTGCATTTCAAGAGCACGGAAATTCGCTCAGGAGTTGCGTTCTGTCAGTGAGAGCATAGATGTCACTCTGTGGCCAGGGAAATTGATTTGGGACACAACTGCAAGACAGTTTAATGCATATAGCCATTCGCTTCGCAGTGCATGACACAAGATCTATGCAAATTATCTTTCGCTTTTGGCTTTCGCATGGGACATTGTGCGCAAACAAACAAGTTGGGGCGAATAAAATTAGAAAGCAATATCAGAAGTTAAAGGATTTTTGAGACCGTTGATAGCAATACTGAATTTCTTGAAAAGCATTTTGGTGTGGACATAAAATTCATATAACAATTCCAGTGTGAAGTTAAATATTTGCAGACTAACACTCACCTAAAAACAATTTACTACGACTTGATTCATACTCAATTTCTTGATTCATGGAATTTCAAAAACTTATTTAATCTAATGTCTGAGTTAACGCTTAAAATGTATAAAAATATTAGAGTTGACGATTTTTTAAGTATGAAGTCTGTATAAGTCTATTTGCCTGTTTGTGGTAAACACTAGTGCCTAAACCATTTCAAACAATTTTCTGCAAAATTAATATCCGCTGATCGATCTGTATGAACTCTAGGACCTAGGAATTTGAAATGCATATTTTGATTTTTGGGGGTAATTTACATGAAGCCTTCAACATTTTGAAAATTTTCTAAAAAGGGGCCACAAGGTCACAGTTTTTATTTTCTTGCCAACTACTTACGTGGAATAGAGAATGTATTGTAAAGCAGTAGAAAACAGCAATTTTCAACAGAAAAATTTATTTCAAGAACCTGATAAAGAAAAAGTGGATAGATCTTGTTCCCATAAGTAGAAAATTATTTCCTCTAAGACGAGTAGTCAGAATACATGTTTGGTGGGTCCTAAATACCGAAAAGTCGATTGATAGCAAAAAGTCTGATTGTTTGTGAACAAAATTAGCAACTAGTAGCATTTTCACCAGAATTGATATTCGTCAATTGATATAAGTGATATCATGGCACCTTGAATTGGAAATGGGTAATTTGATTTTACGGGTACATTACATAAAGCGTCAAAATTTTATAAACTTTCTCAATTCTGGAGAGATGGCCAGAGACACGGATAGAGACAAACGGAGAGACATGGATGGAGACAAACGGAAAGACGGCCAGAGACACGGATGGAGACAAAGGAGAGACGGCCACAGACACAGATAGAGACAAACAGAGAGACAGCCACGCACAGTGACGATCAGAGGTATGGATAGAGACAAACAGAGAGACGAGGGCAAACATACAAAGACAAATGGAGAGAGAGGCGTAGACATACAGAGACAAATGGAGAGATGGGCGTAGACATACAGAGACATATGGAGATGGTCGCAAACATATCGAGACAAATGGAGACAGGCAGAGACATACAGTCTGTCACAGACAGAGACAGACGGATGCAAACATACAGATGCAGATGATCACAGACACTCAGATTCTGACATTGTGAGACAGGCGATCTCATTTCAGTTTACGTTAGATTGTTGTTCTTTGCTTTTTCATCACGATTTCAAAATGATACCGTGTTTTAAATTTTCTTTAATGCTAAAAAACAACCATAACAACCCAAATCACATGTAAATATAGAACTACTGAGTAGGAATAGTGCACAGAAGACCTTGCTTATGAAATGCTCGTTCCATGAATGAGCTATTAAAATTTTATAAAGCTATTAAAACAAGATCTGTAAAAGACAGCTAAATATGAAATTGCCATAGTAATACATAGAGAGAGTTAAAGCAAAAGTATGTACAACAAAAGTGTAAAACATGTTACCTGTAATCATTATTCATTTTATCCTTTTTTAACTGTTGCTTTTGTCACTTTGAATACCAGCGAAGATGCATGCATTGAGAATCATTCCTCAATTAAAAGGTGATCGTCGACAAATCTTACATGGCGAGTTCAAATGCCATACTGTAAGTGCCAAAATAAGTTGAAGAAATACATTTCTTTAAAAGAATTTGATAAATGCATTAGGATGTGCTCAATCTGAAAACTTGTTCTAAGAAAGTTTTCACTACAAGAGTGTGTGAAAATTACATTTAGAAAACTGAATTGTTTTGTCAGGGTGCCCATAGTCTTCTGAATAAGTTTCCTCTCGGTTTTCCCTGAGTAAATCCTATTTCGTCTGCAATAAATTCAACAGACAGTACTTGTAATGCCCAAGTTTATTTAACGATGCAAAAATATATTTAAATATATAAAAATATATATTTTAATTAATATATAAATATATTAATTAAAGAAGAAAAAACTCATCTTAAATATGAATTTATAGGTATTTGCAATATTTTCACATTTATGATTAGAATTAAACGCCCAAGTGGTAGAACTACTTAGTAGTTTGACATGCACACAACAAACTTATATTTTCAATAATTTAAACTACTTTCATCATCTATTTGTTCACTACTAAATAACCATGAAGTCTTCATTTAAACCACATCAAAAGCATGCATTTTTAACACAATAAGACATTTCCCTGTTTTTCCCTTGGAAGTTGGAGATTTCTAGATTTTCCACGTTCTTCTACAGAACACTATTAGCTGAATTTAAAACAGTAATTTTCCTAACATGCTACACAACTATGTAATCATTTAGAAATGGATTAACAAACATTTCTCAAAATAAATATATTATATTCATACAGTCTTTAATAGAGGCAAAAATTAAAACTCACATGGCACTATCTGGATTATTTTCCTGGTTCCTACATTTTTCCAATTTCTTTTCTAATGATCGAAGAGTATCTCGAGGTAGTGGTTCCAAAGACTTTCCCATAGTACGGATTTCTAGAAAAAAATACAGAATCAATCAATTAATTTTCAAATAAAAGAGTAATTTTACTACTCATTCATACAATAAGAAAGTATAATTCAATGTGCATAATAAATAAATTATTATGCTTGACATATGGTATTTTAAGACAATTAACTTCTAGTACAAGATTTAAAATACAAAATTTGTTTTAAATACAATTTTCAGTGACACTAAAGTGAAACACCACGTCATTTTACTCACTAATTATAACAGATCTACTTAAAAAGGTCAGCCGCAAGTGGCAGAGTATGATTTTAGCAATTGTTGATACCTTGAACAATCACTTCCCTTTACTGAACTAAAATCATAAAAAGAACTAATCCATGGATTAACAAGACAATACTCCGGCTGGTTTGTGAAAACATTTCTGTTGGCCAAACATATACACTACATAAAAACATAAAACTACAAATCATTACACAACCATATTTCCAGGCAAACCACAGGCAAAGGGGTAGAAGGGAGACTGGGGTTTGGGGGGCTGGTCTTACATAATCAAACATTTTATTTCCTTAAATATGTTTAATCCCTTATTAACTTGACAATTAGGAGAAAAGGCTCTCTCCAAGCTAATACTGTTATAATTTTATTCTCGTAGTTATTTGATTTATTTACCAGTAAAATGTCATATTTAAATAAAAATGTTTGGACGACAGGGCCCAGAAATGTTCATGACTCCTCCACTTATTTTAGGTTGTGCATGCCTTTGAGAAAAACTTTTAACAGATAGAATAATGTTGGAAATGTAGCTTATAACTTAGAAAAGAACTATTCTCTTACACACAGAGGACATGTTCTTCTATGTTCCTGAACTTATGATCCAACTACAAGAAACCGAAGAAAGTGCATCTGATTTAAAGCCCATTACCAACACTTCAGCAAATATATTCCACAATTTTTATACCTTGAAACCTGACGAGCCCCCTCCTGCCAATACAGCATATTTAGAAGACTAAACTGCAAGCTTCTGATGTATTCAAGATCCTCTGATGTTTTGACTTGTGTTCTGCAGCTGGCCTCAAATATTCCTCTACTATTAATATACAAATTTTGTCAAGTGTTGTGAGATGACATCTCATTGTCACCCATATTGCGACCACATTGCTGGAGTATCTACCTTCATCACTCTCTTCGTTAGTTCTGAGGCCTTTAAAGCAACCTTGCACTTGATAGAAATCTAGCATTTTCTGCCTTTGCCAGATGATGTAGCCTGATCGCATGCCATGCCCTGGCCCACCCCGCCACCTCTCACTGAAAACATGAGTGACTTAACAAATACCTTTACTCTAAGAAACCATTATATCCACTATGTAGAACCTATTATCCTACCACAAGTTAGTATACTTGTAGGATCTCTCTCTCTCTCCTATCAACACACAACACAAGGATGTCAACTTACTCAACATTGTAGACACACACCTCCAGCTGAGCTCAAGCACTTGACATGAACGGACTGTGTAAATGATAACTACATAAAATGATGGCAACATTTAACGTTATTGAACCTTAAAAAATTCTTCATTCATTAATTCTCAGAGGACATCCACAAAACTTGATGAAAATATGGCACATATTGGTGCACAACAAAAATTCCTTGTGACAGTCTTCCCAAAACCTTGGTCTCAACTTTCTCAATTGCCTCCTAAAAACCTCAACAACACTATGATTTATTTTTACATTATTTTAACATAATGTATATAATCACCAAACGATTTTATCTACGAAACAAGAATAGTACTCACTGACAATTCACTATGTACATTCACTTATGATTTTCAATAGTCTGATTTACTAAACAAAATTAGACGTCTAATGTTTAGTGAATTTTACCACACGAATAATTGGATTTATTCTATGAATATTTATTACTCTATAAATCCTTACTAAACATTTTTAGTACATTGCACTAAGTTACCCAAGGCATTATGATAAATCGCAACCTGTTTTGAACAAAAAGCATATACTTTCTCATGTTATTTATAAATTCGCAATTTTTGAAAATTCAGACTTCAACGTAAACAAGAAGTGCACCATTGATTTAGTCACCCCTTGTTTTACCCAAGGATAAAAATTGTAGAAACAATTTGGGATAGTTTTGAGAAATTTATATTTGGTAAATTGTATTAATTTTAAGCAGAAATTAAGCAAAAAAGAGTATTTTTTTAGAACAGATTTTGTTTAAGGCAAAAATCTACTTAAAATTTGTGGTTTTGAAATGATAACTTTTTGCAATTTTCAAAAATCCGTAGAGTTTAACAAATATGAGACCTGTGCCATTCAAAAGAATGGCAGAATGACGCTTAAAAAAGTGTCACTTCTTCTATCTATGGAAAAAATTTATGAAAAAGTTTGGCCCTGTTTTCGAGAAAAAATTGTTGATTTTTTGTTTTCTTTTGTTTTATAAAGTGAATTTATTTCAAGCCCAAATTACGCAAAAACGACTCATTTTTTCTAAAAACTGTACACGACCATTTTTAAAACTGTATTTTTGAAACCGACTTTGTCTGAGGCAGGAGACTATCTTCAATTTTGTAGTTTTGAAATGTTTACTTTTTGTAATTTTCGAAAGTACAGGGTTAATGGAAACGGGATTAGTACATTTTTTACTTTCTCTCGACACATACAGGGAGAATATTTAAGAAAAAATTTGGTGCACTTTTAGAGAAAAACGTTAAAATTAATTGCCTACATTTCACACAGAATTACACAAAAACTCCTCATGTTTTTAAAATTATTCATGACCTTATTTCAAGATCTGTCGTTAAGGAACTGATTTCTCTATCTTCAATATTATAGTTGTAGACAGATGCCTACAAAATCATGCACTTTTGCAATTTTTGAAAAATCTGTGAATTTATCGAACATGAGACCTGCACCATTCTCTTAAGCGTCCTTTAAGCTATCCGAGGACAAAGTTTAAAAAACATTGCTGCCACTTTTCAGAAAATTTTGAAAATGATTTGAGGCTTCTTGTAAAGCATCCTCAAAAATCAAAATATTCATTTGAAAATCAGCTGAATGGTTTAGGAGCCAGCATTGACCACAGATGGATAGAGACACTTTGCGATCAATGTTTTTTTGGTTTCAAGGAACCACAAAACATGGATTCTAATTACACAAAGTGTTAGAGAAAGTCATTTACTATAAATAAGAACATTTATCCATTTCTTCATTACCAGGACCTGGCAATAAAGAGTTTTTCTGTTGAAAATTCACTTTCTTCCGGTACATGATTACAATACATTCTGTTCTTACGAACTGAGGGCAAGAAATTAAAAAACAACAACAGTGAATTACATCAATTTGTCAGTTTTACTACAACAGTTATTGGTTCCATCATAAAACTGAAAAATCTTAGTAGTCAAAATCATTGTTAATGCAGTCTCTGACAGCTTGTTAATGAAACTACTATACTCCTGCATCTGTATTGTCAAAACACGTAAGAATCTTTTTAACATGTTTGGCCTTATTACTTGTGCATATATGCACTACTATTGAGAAAGTTATGAAATGTTGCAAAATTAATGTCAATATTTTGATGAAAATACATATTTTGGGGACCCTGATACTGGAAAGTATTTTTTATCTACTTAGTATAAAGGAAAGTTATGTAATGATGCAGGAAAATGTGTCAATTTATCTCCAGAGAAACATGTTTAGTAGGTCCTTGATACTGGGAAAGTGAATTTTTCTTTCTCTAGAATGTAGTAAAATCAAAGTCCACATTGTATCCCAAAGCATTCAATTCTGAAAAGGAAGGTTAGTGCATGCATCGTCCTTTTGGGGTTCCAAGGTTCAAATATCTCTAAGAATAATCCATGGTAGTAAAAACAAGTTCGTAGTCACAATCTTCTTATGGAATGGTGAAGGCTCAGCTTCATAGAACATGAAGTCTTGATATATACAACATTATGGCATGCAAGCATTATATTTTTGTTCATATATATTCAGTATTTTTGGTTATTTTTGTAATCTAATGAATATATTATTACTTCCTAACATACTTTGTATAGAGACAGCTATGCAATTCTGCAAGGAAAATTGTCACTATTTTGACAAAAAATATTTTTGTGAGTCTTTGAAACAAAAAAGGTTTATTACAGGTGGAATATTACATTCTCATAAATGTAGAATAGTACAAAACCTCATGTTAATGGTTCTTAATAACACAAAAAGTTGTTTCTCTCAAAATGTTTGCCTATCTCTCTGTGATTAACATTAACCCCCACCTGTGTCCACAGAATTTTCACCAAAATGGTTACTCCCCAATCTATCTAAATGATGAATGCCTCTTGAATTTGAAATGATCTTTTACTTTTCAGGAGATCTTATATGAACCTTTTAGGATTTTCAAAATTTTCTCAGAAATGACTCCCAATGATTTCATTGTTTTGCTCTAAGAGAGCAGAGTGTTCTAATAAAAATTATGCATATCTGATTTTCATTAACATATCTGGAATTTCAAAATTGCAAAAGTTTAATATTTTGCAACTCCCTCCTACATTATTGAAGATATATGTATTAATTCCTTTATGTGTTTTTTCTTTCAATGTTAGATCTTAGTAGTTATCATATAATTATGCCTAAATCATTTATCAGCTTTTCAAGTCATGGCTGAAGTGTTAGTAGGGTAGAAGATGTAATAATATAATACTGGGCAAATGTTACCAATAATGTGAGAAAGTATGTGCTCTTAGGGCAACACTAGTTTACATTTACATGACTCCTTGGTATTAATCGATCAATATCCATTAACTGTAATACCCAGGAGGGAGGCATAGGAACACACACTCCTCCTGGAATTAAAAAAAAAAAAATGAATTTATTCAAAACAATTGACACAATTGCTTGCATTACATCCAAAGGAATATTCTAAAAATCATTTTAAGAAGAAATTCACATTATAAAAGAATTCTATAATTCTTCTTCACACATGTTTAATGCAATGATGTATGAGTGACAACTAAGCTAG